TCTTATTTCTAAGTGTTGAGCTGGTGCTACATCATGACTAACAGATTAAGATATGGGTCTGTAGTTTAAATCTCATGTTTCTGGTTCAAGTCTGGTTCAAATCTTGTGTCTGCTATGAATTTATCACATGACTGTATGCCAAACAGCAAAAGCCTTCAAGCTTGCCAGAGCTATTTTGTTTTAGCTGCTAGAATCTCAAATATTTTATTTAGAGACAGGGCAAAAGGTAGCCATTTCATTTTAAAAAAAGAAAATGGATGGCTTCAAGGATATTCAGGTCCCCAAAATTTGTTTTCTCTAATGTAACTGAACTGAGCTCACCCCAAATTCTATTTCTGGCTATCCCAAGCTAATTTAAGTTGGGGCAAGGGAATCATTTTCCTTTTGTTTTTGCTAATTGAATATCAGAAACTTGGTAATCTGCTGCAGATCATCCACAAACTGACCAGAAAACTCCCTCTATCTTCTCATTTCTGCAAAAGAACATGAGAACCAACTGGATCAGATAAATGGCCTCTGTAGTTGAATACCCTCTTTCCCATAGTGGCCAATCAGTTGCATCTGGGCTCCTGCAATCTGATTTTCATCACTGTTTTCCAATCTCTGAAATGAAAGTTGTGTACAGTGATTGATAGCCTTAATTCAAGTTTGTCCAATTTTATTTTAAAGTAATGCCAGACATTTTTTGCTGATGTTCTTGCATATATTTAGGTATGAACTGATTGTAGGCTATGTGTGAATGTCTTGCTGTTCCATGTTTGGTCCTCTCTGCAGTGGGTTCTGTCTTCCATGTAGTCATTAAATCCCAAGATTAGACATCATGAGGGAACTGCTTTCATTGGCCTTTTTAGTAGCACTGCTACAGCCATTACTATAGGAAAGGCCTACCCTTGAGAGATTATTTGATCAATTCTCCTTCTACGGGATGAATTCAGAAAAAATGTCCATCCAACTTTTCTGCTTATACACAAACACACACACACACACAAATCTGTCATGCCCACTTGCCTTTTTTTCCCCTCTCCCCTTTGCAGGGAAATTAAAGACATTGTAATCAATGTTGCCTTTATATTCTAGGTCACATTCCTACAAGGAATCCTAGTATTCCATACACATATCCTAGTACTAGATCATGCTAGTATAAAATATGTAAGCCGTAGTATTTCACTGTAGCATTCCCTCTGCAGAGTATACACTGGCCCATTCTACAAATACTATTTAATATAATGCATTGGCTACACAAATGCTATTATTATTTATTCAATAATGCATAAAATCACCTTTTATTACACTGGACTCCTGGGTTGGGCAATGCACAGCCCTCCACATTTTACTGAAGGCAAATACTCTATCAAACCAATAGCTAACAGTGAGGGATGCTGGGAATTGCATACCGGCATTATTGGGAGAACATACATTGCTCACTTCCACTCTACATAGTTGACGCCAATACTGTATGGATCTGAAAAAGAAGATTCCAAAAATGGTTGTGCTACAACATTTGGCACTGCGTACAAACATTCAGCTGCATAATAATCCTGCAAAACAAAAAAAAGCGTGTTTAGGGCCAAGATAGGCAAGATGATAGATATATCTTATTTAGTTAAAAAAACAAACTAAAATACAGTTGTTAGTAGCAGAGAATATGACTAGAGTAATACCATTTATCTACTTAAACTGGATTTTCATAGCCTGAATACAGAAGAAGGGAAACTAATGCATTTTCCACTGCAGCTTAAGAGGTTACTTTTGATCAGGGAAACAGCCTGGGATAATAATTTTGATAAAGAAAATGGCTCACGGGGAAAGGTTTAAGCAATCAGCATTTTTAAAAAAAACTTTAAAAAACTGAATCTGTTGGCAGATATTAATGCATTCGCTGTGCATTGTATTTTCAAGGCTGTTTGGCTAACTTGCTCCCTTGTAGATATTCTAACTCCAGGATTTCTCAGGTGGTGATATGCACACTGACAGTGCTACACAGCAAGACTTTAAGTAAGATGCATCTCCTGTCCCAAATCAACATTTCAGAAAATCAAAATATTGAGAGGAGAGGCAAGGAACCCCAGGAGAGAGAAGGAGCCCAGAGAATCCAGATGCTTGTTGGTGCAGGAGGAAATAAACCACTTGGCAAAGCATTCCCAGGAACATGGTGGCGGCGAGCTCCATGCTTTCCATTTCCTTACTTGTAGAGCGGTGTTCCTCAACCTTGGCCTTTTCAAGAATTCTGAGATTGAAGTCCACTGTCTTAAAGTGGCCAAGGTTGAGGAACACTGTTGTAGAGGGTAAGGAAGATGACCTTGATGGAGATATGCAGAAATTGTTGCTAGGGCAAAAATGGCTAAAGCAGAAGGGGCTAGAGCATTTTTTAAGTTGAGAATGGCCAGATAACATTCAGAAGCAGCTCAGAGAGACACCTCCCTATTTCACTGAACTATAAGAAGGGGGTGGTGGTACAGCACAATCAAACTTGCAAGATTCTGTTATTATAGTTAATCTCAATAAAAGTAGTTTTAACCTTCCTATGGAGTTGATCTCATGGTCTGATCTACCTGGATAAAGGTATGGCAGGAGCTGTAGAGGGTGCCCCATTGAAGGCTTTACTGTACTGGGCCCCATTGAAGGCTTTATAGTATGGGGTAGACTGCACAGAAAGAAGTCATTTGGGCCTGAGCCTTCTAAGGCTTAATAGACCAGAGTGAACATCTTGTGCTGGGCTCAGAAAGCCATTGGCAATGTAACTGTGTCAAGATGGTGATACAGCACCTGTTAGAGATACCACTTCTGACCTGTGCCACTACATCTGGGCCAGCTGCAAGTTCCCAGACTGTTTTCAAGGGCCATTCCGTGAACGGTGAATTATGTGGCTATCAGTTCTGAATCAAGGAGGATACTTACCCTGTAAGCCTATAAATGGAGGGTGCACCCCCATCCAGAACAGGCATTTCTCCTGATTCAGTCTCCAGAATCAACAGCTACTCTGTCTTGTCTGAGTTAAGCTTTAGCTTGTTATCCACACTCAGTCCTTTTCTGTCCAGGGATGGACAGAAGCTCTTGGATAGCTTATGGGCAAGGAGAAATACAGGGACTCTTGCTAGCAACTTGACATAGATATTAAATAATGCGGGAGACAGTTAATTTTAATTGGGAGTAAATTTATTAATGGAATTAATTCATTCATTCTACCTAGTGTTGCAGTTGTACATCCTTAAAATAATTAGGTAAGTTATATCTCTAAGTAGATCTCAACTTCTTGTGATGACACTGCAATGTTCTTATTATTTTGTTGGCAACCATACAGAAATCTTTTGCCACCGCTGTCCCCAGGTGGGTTGGTTGGTTGGTTTTTTATCTTCCCTGGCTAGTCTATACTCATGGGATTTCCTGGTGCTAACCAGATCCGACCTTGTTTAGCTTTTTCAAGACTGGCCCAAAGTAGCTGGGTGTGGCCACCTTCTAGGATTCTTAACATTTACCATGGCTGATAAATATAATACAAGAATGCATGTAGCTATAAACTGGAAAAAGTGGTTCTTTGACAAGATATAGTTCTTTGGTAGAATGATGGTGATGTTTAAGATACAAAAATGGCTGAGAGCCACTGCTTTAATTAACAAGCAAGGATCCCCTTTAAAATCTCTCAGTATTTGCCAATGAGCATGTTGTGAAGGTAAAAGCTTGGAAGAATGATGAAGGCAATGTGTGGGCTGATCCCTCACTGAAATTCTTTGTGCTGTTATGGAACAATTTGCATAGAGTTGACCAGTGTGAGCCGGGAGGGCAGACAGGACCATTCCTGCCAATGAATAGTATGCCCAAGTCGCGCTGCATGTTTTGGAAAACAGCAAGTAACCCTTGGTTGATGCCAGCTAGTTATTAATAGGTGTCTGCCTAGGAAGGAAAGGAAATCTCATTCTCTAAACCTTGTTTTATTTTAAGGTATTCTGAATAACATAAGAACAGAATAAGGTCACTGGAATTGGTTTCATTCCCAAAGCTGCTCTCCTCTGAATTCTTTGCAACGTGTAATCTACTGTTCTTGAACTATTGCATGAAGGAATAGTTTCTCTGCATGTAATCACTTGTTTGGGGCATAGTTTTTTCCATTTAAAAAAGCAAATTACCAAAGCAGATCTATATCACTGATTTTAAAAATATCTGTCGGTCTAGTTACATAAATTACTATAAATAATTTCAGTGTAGCTATTAAAATGCTTCCACTGCCTCTTTTACAACTGAATGTATTTTAAATCAGATAATTTCAGAGGAGCTTATTATTATTAGGCAAGGAGCTTATATGATAAAGTTCACAGAGCATGATAACTGCTTGGAAACATTAAACTCTAGGCATTGGCTGCAATTCTGTATACACACTTTTCTTGGCTATGAGTTACATTGCATTCAACTGAATGTACTTCTAAAGGTAAAAGTAACATTCTCCACAATATAAGACTCACCATTCTGAAAGAAATGGTAAATTAATGTGTTTGCATGGGAATAAAAGACTAGCAGCAGCAAAACAAAACAACACCCCTTCTGTTTATTATTTTGCTTAAACTTCCCTACAGTATCTTAAGGTGTTCTCTCAAGCAGATGTTCCTTAGCCCTCAAGCAGTTAATGCTTGTGTGTGCATGTGATTAAACAACTGGATTCCCTTTCTAAAAGCTGTGTGAAAAGTGTGAGTGAGCCAACAAGAAGGAAAGAGAGGAATAATTACGCTCTTGAGTAATCCTCGTATTGAAACAAGGGGTCATAAATATCAGGTAATCCTCTTGTCAAAAGAAGGAGTCCGCTGTGTTGGGCTTCCATTTAACCGTTGCACTTCTGAAAGTGAAGCTTTCCTGCAAACTCACTGCTATACCCATGTCTCATCTTCATTTTTTCCCCTTTTACCATCTATCAACAATTTCAGAATGTGGTTGACCTTTAAACCTGTTATTATAGGATTGCGGAGGGGGGAACATCGAGGCTCTTTCAGCTGCTTTGCTTCCCATGTGACTTAGATGGAGAATAGGCTCAAAGCACAGTTCCTCCCCCAGCAGTGCAAGGCAGAAGAGAACAGCACTGTCACTTTCAAACCGTCCTGGCATAAATGCAGAGGAAGGAGCAAAGAGCTTTAGTAGTTTAGAACTCATCTCGAAGATCCTGGGCTGTTATGAGGAATATGTTTCCCTGGAAGCTTCTCCTATTTCTTTGGCAAATGGAATGTATGGGGTGGAAGAAGTGTGAAGACAAATGAAGTACCGCTCCTAAGAAGTGCTGGGTTTTTATTTGCACAATGAGTATTATAATGAAGCCGCGATCCCGTTCCACCAGCTCCTTAAGAACCGCCGATGCAACCTGGTAATGTGTTCCCCCCCCCCTTTCCTTATCCCAGCCCTCTGTCTGCAAATGCTTTGAGTTCTATTTTGTGATGTGTTAATAAATTATACATACTGATCTCAAAGATTTGGAGGAATAGGTAAACTGAAATTGGGTATAATCTTTGTCCTGCGCTATGCAACATTGTTGAGGGGGAGAGGATTACATAGCTTTAATTTTTTTGATGAACACAAACATGGGCTGCTGTTTGAAAAACTTATTGAGATGTGATTTTGAAAGGAGGGACAGGAGGATCATTGTTTTAAAGGCTGTATATTTTGTCATCCTTGTTCATACTTTGTCGGCATTTTAATAGATCAAGTGGTGACAGATCTTATGATTTATGAGGGGTGAGATTTTATCTTATATACTCTGATTAAGGAAAACAAATCCTTCTTTCTGAAGAGCCCTGCATTAATAGTGTTACAAGTGCTGGTATAACATTGTGCTAATAGTACAATTCTAATAATCTGTAATCAGTACTCCCATTTATTTGGTAGTAAAACTACTGAACTTAGTATAACTTAGGACTTGAGCATGCAAGCATAGAATGTTCTATTAGCCCAGAGACCAATTCTTACCTAAAGTAATCCTCAGGTTAATCTCAGCTCTGGCATGAACTGACTGGATGGCCTTTGGCAAGTCACCCTCTCTTATACACAGTTTTTTACCCCATCTATGTTATATGGGGAATCATTTATCAAACAGGGTCACCAAACACATGTAAGAAACTTTGAACATCTGAAAATGCAATACTGTTGTTAAATACAATTTTATAGTCCTCTTTAAGGTTGCAACTTGATATATGCGAGCCATGTATCACAGTAACCCAGAAGGATCAACCTGGAATTAGGTTTTAAATAAATCCATAGGGTTTATTACTAATCAGCTGGCAATTTTATATTATGGTTTTATACATTATAAGGCTTTTCAGGATGTTGATCCAAGAAGGACAAATTCACTCTTACCTATGCCTTGTAGGCATATCCTGATTTATTTCCAGATGCTTTGACATCCTGCCACTTTTACTTACATCTTCCTTTATTGTTGCATGCCTAGAGAAGCGAGCAAAGAAACCATTCAGGGGCATTATATCATGTTATTTCCTACTGTTCTGATAAAATGAATGGTTCAAAACGTAGAACCCTCATTACAGGTACCCTCAATTGTCAAATTCCTCTCTGAATCAGGATCTTTCTGTATTTTACTTATGGAATTGACCACGATTTGATATAGTCTTGATAGCTCCAGTAATGCTACTAATCCATAATGAGATCCATACAGCTTGGTTAAAATATTTAATAATAGGGGGTCCATGACATAAATAACAAGATGTGGTAAAATGCAGGGTATTAAGCTTCACTTTGTACAAGTTTCATGCCTCTGGCATGATTAGCAGTGGGTTTAGTTAAACTACGTCAGCGGTGCAATATGACACAGTTGGAATCTTCACAGTAAACTGTTGCCAACTCTTCAGTATAAAAAAGCACAAAAGGCATCTCTTGTTTGCCTCTGCAGTCATCAGTCTGTAATTCACAGTCCTTATTCAGGCAAAATCCCAACTGATGTCACAGAGTTTCACTTTGTTATGCAGAGAAACATTCTATAGCTTGGATTTTTTGTTAGAACCACACAGATAGTACATGCCGTAGTTCTCAGCTCCACTTTTCCACTTTTATATTATTTTGTTGCTCTTCATTTTTTTTCCAGCAGCCAGATAATATTATATGGTTCTTTGTTTTATTAATTTGCACGTTTGTACAATTACTGACTTCCTTTCACAGTGTAATAGTAATGGTAATAATCCTATAGCAGTGTCAGAGACAGCTTTAAGTCTTCTCCGATGCAGGTCATGTTGGTCCAAGACATTTGGAAGCAAAACATTTGGACATTTGGAAGCAAAAATATTGTCAACTGTAGCAAATTATTGTCTGTGTCCCTTGAGCATAATCCTAGTCTTTGTAAATGTAAATTATTCACATGGCAAGGTGTAAACATTTTAAACATCCCCTTTGTAAGTTAATAAAATGAAAGTAGGGTGTTTTTTTCACAATAAAGTATTTCAGTAAAGTATTTGTCAGATACTTATAGACATCTCCTTGATTCACATCTCCTACTGATTAGACAACTAATGTAGAATTTACCAAGAGGGAAGCCTCTCTACAGACCACATGCAACAATAGGCAATGGGCAGATAGCCATACATACATGTATTTGCAAATATATGTCCCAAACATGCTCATATAGTTTACCTGTAACAGAGATATATTCTCCCTCCTTCCCCTGATCTCATCAAATGGGTGGTAGAGAACTTTAAAATTTCCTTCCCTGTATGCTGCCTTCTACATGCCTCCCTACTCCTCAAAATCATGTTTTCTCTAGTCTATAAAACAGCTATTTTTCAGAAGCAAGAAGCACAAGCTACATGGGGAAAAGTGTGCAAGGGGAACTTAACTGATTAGGACTGACTTTCTAATCAGCAGTGTGCAAGGGCAATTTGGACTGTGGGTTGTCCATAACATTGGTAGTTAAGTCACTGTGCTGTTCGGGGGGGGGGGAGTTCCTCCTCCATCTTCCCAGTTTGATCTAGTCCCTCAGGGTATAGCACCATCTATTTGTCTATCAGAGTGGCCTTATTCTTGCAGATCTTTATAATTAATTATCCAGGCTGTTGTGTCTGAATAATTACATTGTGAACTGGAGAGTGCATGTTGCCAGTTGGAAAGGTCTAGTTAATGCACATTGAAATGTAAAATGTATTGTTAGTACTCTATTAACAACTGTTCTGCTGTTTGATGTTAGAATACTCTTCATAGAAAATGAACTTCTCTATATAATCAAAACCAGCATGTCAAAATTTCTTGCACACACGGAGGTCTGGAAGGGCAGAGTCTAGTACAGTGGGGGCAGTGGAACTCCATTGTTGTAGTAACTGTGGGTGTTATTCTATGACATCACTCATGGTTTTCTACAGGTTTTGGCAGCACCTGTTCTTCAAAACCAGTGGAGACTTCATAGCACAGAGCTCACCAGCAGGTTCTGTCAGCAGCCACAGCTTCTAGTTCCCTTGGCTGGATGTCACAGTGGCATAGGGTTTCTTTCATAGTGTCTTTGTGGTGCTTGCGTGATCGTTCTCGAGGTCTCTTCCCAGACTCCACTGCACTATAGAGCAACTGGCAAGGCATATGGTAGTTATCCATTCTGATGATGTGTCCCACCCACCCATCGCCCACTGCATCTGGGCTCTGATAATCAGGAACTCAATGCTGGTGGACTCTGTGCAACCCAAGACCTCCAGGTTGGAGACACAGTCTTGCTGAGGTTGGAGTGGAACGAGGGCATGTGAAATTTCTCCAATTGTTTGATGTGCCTTTGGTACAGAGTCAAGGAGTCACATCCATGTAGGAGAGAAGGGGTAACCACAGCTCTGTAGACTATCAGCTCTGTGGAGATATGCATGTTGTGTTGATTGAGCACTGTTGTATGCAGCCACCCCAGTGCCTGGCTGGCTTTGCTGATCCTGGAGTCAATTTCTTTGTCCAGAGACCCATCACTTGAGATGATGCTTCCCAAGTATTTGAAGCTGTTTACATTTGTCAGCTAGGTGTCATCAACAGTGATTTTTGGTTCTACGGGGTTGGTATTTGTTCAGGCTGATAGTCAGGCTGAAGAGCCTAGCAGCGTCTGAGAATTTGTTCAGCATCTACTGTAGATCACTGTCTTTGTGCACCAGGAGCACAGAGTCATCAGCAAAGAGGGTTTCTTGGATGACTGTATGGAGGCACTTCATCCATGCGTTCAAGTGGCAAAGGTCAAAGAGAGAGCCATCAAATCAGTACCTGATGTACACTTCCTTCTTCAAATCCTGGACAGCATGTGACAACATGCAAGCAAAGAACATATTGAACAGGACCGAGGCTAGCACACAACTCTGTTTTACCCCATTGGAAATGGCAAATGCAGCTATGTATCACCATTGTAAAGAACCTGTCCTGTCATTCTGTCATGGAGTAGCTGAATCAACTTCAGGAATTTCCTTGGGCATCCGTAATATCTCAGGATGATCCAGAGAGCCTCCCTGTTTACAATGTAAAATGCCTTTGTCGGGTCAATGAAGTTCTGCTCAATGCACTTCTCCTGGACTTGCCTCATAGGAAATATCATGTCTGCTGTACTCCATTATGGCTGAAAACCACACTGCACCTCTGGGAGGTTCTTTTCTGAGACAGTGACAAGCCTGTTCAGGATAATGAGGGCAAAGATCGTGCCTGCAACGGACAGCAGTGAGATACCCCTGTAGTTTCCACAGTCTGATTTACTTCCCTTATTTTTGTGGAAAGCCACAATGAAGGCATCGCAGAAGTCATCAGGCATGTTCTCTGTGGACCAAATATCTTCCAAGTTGTCTTGGAATACCTGTAAGGCGTTTGGGTCTAGTGCTTTGTAGATCTCAGCAGGAATGCCATCCTGTCCTGTTGCTTTATTTGAGTTCATCTGTGAAATTGTTTCTTGATCTCATCAGAGGGAGGCAGGTCTAGGGCATCCAGGACTGGCAGCTGAGGAATCTGCTCTAAGACATTATGATCAACTGTGGACGGCCTATTGAGTAGGTTGGAAAAGTGTTCAGCCCAGCAGTTTTTCAGCCCTTCCTGGTCTTTGATCAGGCTTGACTCATCGGATGACAGCAGTGGGAAGCATCCTGATTTAGAAGGACCATAAACCATGATGCTTAAGAACTCTCTGGTGACATGCATGTCTACGTAGTATTCTACCTGCTCAGCCTTTCTCTGCCACCACTAGTCCTGTATTTCTCGCAGTTCTGTCTGTGCTTTGGACTGCAGGTGCTTAAGATTGTCTTTCTTTGATGATGCATTCTTCTGCCAGTCTACATAGGCCTTGTTCTTGGCCTGGAGGACTGCTGAAATGGTTTCATGGTTTTCATCAAACCAGTCTTGATGCACCCAGGTTTTCAGTTCAAGTAT